ATTTAAAACGCCACGACCCGCCAGCAACAGGGGAAGTCGCCGAGACAAATGGAGGCTCCGCGAAACAAGACTCTACACCGACTAGGAACCTTCAGCCGAACACCCCCGAGAGTAAGAATATTTCCTCTCGAGGTTTTCAAGCATTTAAAAAATTCAGGGGAGATTTCAAGGCCAAGAAAAAGTCTTTAGACATTATTCAGGTATCTAAGAAGTCGGGCAAACCACTCCGGAGCGTTGAAAAGGGTCGTGCGTTTCAAGGAGTTAATATTCTCTCCCCGCAGCACGGTGTTAAGGCTCCCCATTGCCCACAGGTGAAGCCTACACATCTCCAAAGGCTTAGGGGAAGGTTCCAAGCCAAGATACTCCTATTTTCTCCAACATCCCGCGGTCGCACAACGAGTGAGACGCACCGCTGTCCACCAGTGCCTGGAGGCGTCGCCCGTTGCAGATCAACTCGATTACTAATGGTTGTTGCCGCTCCGAGTAACCGTAGATGGTTTTGCTTATAGGATCATAGGGTACATCGAATATATCTCCCCTAGGTCCTGACTCGGTATCAGTTTCCAACTGAGCAGGGTTAGAAGGAAACACCAGCTTCGAGCGCAGGACATAGGGGAGATATATTCGACGTACCCTATGATCCTATAAGCAAAACCATCTAAGGTTACTCGGAGCGGCAACAACCACTAGTAATCGAGGTGATCTGCAACGGGTGACACCTCCAGGCACTGGTGGACAGCGGTGCGTCTCACTTGGTGTGCGACCGCGGTGTCAGAATATTATTCTTATGTTCTAGCCTGTAGTGGGGTGCTCTATAGCGAGTACAACCCTTCTAGGGTTTGCTATTTGTATCCCCATTTCTGCTAGTTCATCCCCCTTTTCTTCTTCTAACTTTTGTCACGCGGGATGTTGGAGAAAATACGAGAATCTTCGGAGGAGACCTAGTTCACGGCAACGATGGTGGACGGTACGAAACTTCCCATCCACGGCGAAGCATCATTGCAGCTGCACATAGGGGCGCTGAGGTGGAAGCCGACGTTGCCGATCACGAATATCAAAGGTTTAGATTTCATCTTGGGGCGAGATTTCCTGAAACGGTTCAACCCCGAGACCGGCTGGGTCAAAAGGAAGGCGTTCATCTATAACAATGAAAACGAGTGGAGCTGCGAAGCTGGACGGATATAGGGAGCGTTCCTAAAACAACACTAGCACGGCTCGAACGGACGGTGAACGAGAGTAACACGGGCTACCTAGCACTGGTTATGGCAGCAACAGAGAAGGAGAAGCCAAACGTAGAGCTACTTGTAGCAGAGAAGGAGGTCTTGGAGCAATACAAGGATATAATGTCCGATGACCTACTTGCACGCATACCTCTGCACGCACCTACGAGCACGAGATCGTGGAGGAACCAGGTGACGAAAGTAGAACGACAATGTACTAAGTTTAACTAGGGCCTAGACTTAGGAGCCTAGGCCCAACTTGGATATCGAGTAGGTTTGTGCCAAGGGTGAGGATCGAGAAAATTGGGAAGGATGATTTCACTATAGGTTTCAAGGAACATATAGCATAGGAAACAAAGAAGGTGCACCACCAAACTAAGTTTAAATAACTACACTAACTACAGCTACAGGCAGTTACAAATATAAGTTCTGACACTCCCCCATAACTGCCTGCAGCAGGAGTTTGTGCAGAATACAACGTGCAGGTGTACACATGCAAAATAATAAACAAGCAACAGCAGGAACTGCAGGCGAGCTGACACTAGCTGGTCACCCCCTCCATCTCCTCACCCTCCTCCTTCCCCTCCCCCACACTGCTGCCGGAGCAGCAGAGAAGGGGGGAAGAGAGGAGAGGTGGAGGGACGGCTGCTGGTTGCCTCACACCCTCCACCCCGGTGCCACTCCCCCTGCTCCCCCACACCCTCACACCCTCCCCCCTAGCGGCAGCTGCAGCAGTGGGAACGAAAGGAGGAGGAGGGGAAGGGAAGGAGACGACCCAACACTCCAACACCCGCCACCCCCATACCCTCCCCCCCACGGCTGCAGGGAGACAAAGGAAGAGGGGGTGGGCGGGAAGAAAGCCGCAGAGCGGCTACATGTGTCGGCGCAGGTAGGTCAGGGGCGGCTGCAGGGAGAGCAGGTGCGGAGAGGCCCGTCGCGTGCCACGGGGCGCACGACGAGTAAGTTTAAGTTTAAGGGCACCGTCGTGTGCCTCGGGGCGCACGACAAGCAGGGCACCGTCGCGTGCCACGGGGCGCACGACGGGCAGGTTTAGGGCACCGTCGCATGCCACGGGGCGCGCGACGGGCAGATAAGGAGTCACACGCCAACCGGGGGCGGGACAAGGGAAAATCGCCACGCGCCCTAGGCGCGCGACCGGAAAAAAAAAGTAGCAGCGGAAGCATGAGGCGGGCCCACAGGCCAAGACGTAACGCGCTCTGATAGCATGACGAAAGTAGAACGAGAATGCACTAAGTTTAACTAGGGCCTAGACTTAGGAGCCTAGGCCCAACTTGGATATCGAGTAGGTTTGTGCCAAGGGTGAGGATCGAGAGAATTGGGAAGGATGATGTCACTATAGGTTTCAAGGAACATATAGCATAGGAAATAAAGAAGGTGCACCACCAAACTAAGTCTATAATAACTACACTAACTACAGCTATAGGCCGTTACAAATATAAGTTCTGACACCAGGTGGGAAAAACGTTTAACATGCACCATACCGACTAAGTCCGACCGAATTAACAGACATGAAGAAACAGATAGAGAATCTACTGGACAAACAACTGATCCGCCCATCCACCTCTCCCTACTGTGCACCAGTTCTCTTCACTCCAAAACCAGACGGCAGTTTACGGTTGTGCATCGACTACCGTGCAGTGAACAAACAAACAGTAAAAATTAAATACCCCATAACGCGCATAGACGACCTACTAGACCAACTGCGTGGTGCAAAAGTCTTTTCGAAGCTGGACCTACGGTAAGATTATTGGAAGATCAAGATGGCGGACAACAGGATCCACAAGACGGTGTTCCGTACTAGATACGAATACTTGGTGATGCCATTCAGACTCTGCAACGCACCAGCGACGTTTCAGGCGGAGATGAATCATATCATACGGCCCCTGCTGGACAAGTGCGTGGTGGTGTACTTGGATGACATTCTCATCTACTCCAAGAAGATGAAGGAGCACGTGGAGCATCTACGGAAGGTACTCGAGATCCTGCAGAAGAACAAATTCTACGTGAAGCTGTCAAAGAGCGACTTCGCCCTGAAGAAGGTGCAATTTCTCGGGCACAAGGTGACTGACGAGGGCGTACACGTGGACTCGCGGAAGATTGAAGCCGTCAAGAAATGGAAAACGTTCCGGAGAACGTGAAGGATGTGCAGCAATTCATAGGCTTCGCCAACTATTACAATAGGTTCGTGCCGCCATACGCTAAGATAGCAGCGTGACTGACCGACCTACTGAAAAAGGATACGCCCTACAAATGGGATACCCCTCATCAGCAAGCCATGGAGCAGCTACAGACAACACTGACTACAGCGCCAGTACTCATCTTACTGGACCCAGACAAGGACTACGTGGTGGAAGCAGACGCTAGTGACCAAGCAGTCGCAGCACTACTGATGCAGGATCACGGACTCGGTTTGCAGCCCATCGCTTATCTCAGAAAAAAAGCTACACGGAGCAGAAATGAACTACCCCATTCATGACAAGGAAGCCTTAGCGATAGTCATAACCTTCAAGTCTCAAATACCTGAATGTCAAACTTATATGCTATAGTCTGTGTAGGCTGTAGTGAGGTAGATAATATGGGGTACAACACTTTTAGGTTTTCCTACTTGTACCCACCTGTTTCGTAGTGCATTCATTCCTCGTACTTTTCTCACATGGTATAGAGCGGGTTGTCAAAATTATATGCTATAATCTGTGTAGGCTATAGTGGGGTAGAAAATATGGGGTACAGAACTTTAAGGTTTTCCTACTTGTACCCACTTGTTTCCTAGTGCATTCATTTCCTCGTTCTTTCACATAGTATAGAGCAGTTTCCCTAGTGGGAACGTGTCCTAGGGCCCACCAAAAATCGTATTTTTTTTCCTGCCCAGAGCGCGCTTCGCTCTTGCCCGAGTCGCGCCCCGTGTGCGTGCCCTCCCGTCGCGTCCTCTGCCCTTAGCGGACCGTCGCGCTCTCTTACGGCCCCGTAGCGGCCCCTCTCGCGGCCCCCCACGGCCCCTCTCACGGCCCTTCGCGGCCCCTTCACGCCCCTCGCGGCCCCTTCGAGGCCCCTTGCGGCCCCTTCGTGTCCCCGTCGCCGCCCTTCACGGCCCCTTTTTGGCCCTGTCGCCGCCCTTTCCGGCCCCTCTCGGCCCCTTCTCGGCCCCGTCGCCGCCCTTCGCGGCCCCTCACGGCCCCGTCTCGGCCCCGTCGCCGCCCTTCGCGGCCCCTCACGGTCTTGCCCCGGCCCCGTCGCCGCCCTTCGCGGCCTATTCACGGCCCTTCGTGGCCCATTCGCCGCCCATACCCGCCCCTTCTCGGCTCCTCCGCGAACAGCAGCAGCCGCCGCCGGCGAAGTAGCGGCGGCCGCCGCCGACAGCAACAACCGCCGCCAGCAGCAGCCGCCGCCGCCGATAGCAGCGGCCGACAACAGCAGCCGCCGGCGACAGCAGCGGCCGCCACCGACAGCGACAGCCGCCGCCGCCACTGCCGGGGCCGCAGCCGCCGCTGCCGTGATCGCCGCCACCGCCGTTGCCGGGGCCGCAACCACCGCCGCCGACAGCGGGAGCCGCCGCCGGCGGCGGTTGCGGCCTCTTCGCGGCCCTGTCCCTGCCGACGCGCCTCGGCCCTGCCCCACTACTTGCGAGCCCCTACCCACACGCCCTGGTAAGAGCACCGCCGAGCCGCGCATGCTGCCCCTGCTACTAGCTTGCTGCTGCTGCTGTCATGGCTACCCCTAGCGTTCTCACCTTTGATGCTGAAAGTCGGGTTGTCGACTTTGATGTCTGGGCCAATGATCTGCAGCTTTTCCTGCAGTGCGATAGGAAAGACAGTCTCTCACTGTTCAATCTCACGTCTGGCGCCTCTCCTGCCCCTACTGCCGACACTGACAACACTGTTCCCTCCGAGAGGGCCACACGCGATGCTACTGCCGGTCTTGCTGTGCGTAGTCACTTGCCCTCCACTGAGCGTGCGCACTTTAGTCAGTTCAAGAGTGCTAAGACCTTGTACGACGCTGTAGTTGCACGCTACTCTTCCCCTACCACTGCTGCCCTTAGCCGCCTCATGCTGCCGTACCTGTTCCCCGACCTTGCCGCCTTTCCCACTGTCGCTGATCTCATTACGCACCTTCACACTAGTGACACCCGCTACCGCGCTGCGCATCCTGCTGAGTTCTGCGCCAAGAACCCCCCCCCCATGTACATCACCCTCTACTACATAGTCACCGGGCTACGTGACTCCCTTCGCTCGGTCAGGGACCACTTCCTCTCTGTTTGCCCCACCACACTCACCGTTGACCTCCTCGAGAAGCGCCTCTTGGCAGCTGAGAAGAGTATAGTCGCTGTAGGAACCTCTCGTGGTGACCTTCGTACCCCCTTCTTTGAGGGGTGCCCCCCCTCCCCACTTTTGCCCTCTAATGCCTCTACTGCTGCCATCGACTTCGTTGGCACCGAGTCGGTCGGCGCCGCGTCAGCCCCTATCAGGAGACGCTGCACCGGCAAGGGCAAGGGGGGCAAGGGCGCCGGAGGGGCTGGCGGGGGTGGTGGAGGTGGCGGTGGAGGCGGAGGAGGGGGTGGGGATGGCGGTGGGAGTGGTGGCGGGGGTGGGGGCTTCGGTGGCGGCGGTGGCGGTGGGAGCGGAGGAGGCGGAGAAGGAGGCGGTGGCAGAGGTGGCGGCAGCGGCGGTGGAGCTGATCGGGGTGGCTCTGTGCAGCGGGGCGGCTTCGGTGGTGGTCAGTGCCAGCAGCAGCAGCGCACTCGTGAGACCCCGCCCCCTCAGCAGCTTCGTGACTAGTACGCTGTGATGGAAAGCGAGCGAATCTGGAGAGCGTACAAGAGATTAAGTCCGCCGAATTCAACGGACCATTGCGTGCAGCTCACGTAACCTTAAACTATGAGCAGGTACGCGTTAGAAAGGTCTTAATCTCTACTTTCCAGAATAGTAACGCACGCTTTCAACAAAGATCTAGGCCGATCGCTATCGCGATCTAAGTGCGATGGTGTATCCTGGCGGAATTACTAGGCAGCCATGGATTAGTTCAAGAAAGTGGCTTTAGCAAGAGTTCAGATCTGAAAAGTGACGAGTTGTTCAAACCCTACCAACCCAACCCTCGCCCTACAACAATCCCCAGCAACCCAAAGTGCTAAACTAGCAACACCAAAGGTGTTGTAGTGAATAGCAAAGGTTTGTTGGTACTTGTTGGGTGCGAGATCAATACCAGCCCGCAACAAGTCTAACCACCACATTTTGCCCAAACCCTTAGCCCACAACCAGCTAGAGCAAAATACCACAACCACCTACACAATCAACACTCCCCCTTGCTCGTGCTGGAGGTGGCTGAACACCACTGGGCAAAATCCTTCACTTCACTCCCCCTTGCCCAGGGAAGGGCGCCATCCACAGCATGAGGTCGTTAATGCAGAGAAGCACCAGTCCTCCCACATCCTGCTCAGGCACCATGCTGACATGGGGCTGCATCCCCATCAAGGACATGCACACACCATGCTGCTCAAAAGGGAGGGGTTTGGTGAGTATATCTGCTGCTTGACGGTTGGTGGGGCACCACCGGGGGATCACCTCGCCGCACGCCACCATCTCCCTGATGAAATGCCACCGAACCTGCATGTGCTTGGTGCGGCCATGCAAGCATGCATTCTGTGCAAGGGCAATGGCAGACTGGTTGTCCACAAACACAGGCACACCACCAGCAAACTCATGCCCAAACTCCCCAAACAAATGCTTCAGCCACACACCCTCCTGAATGCACAGACACAGACTGATGTACTCACTCTCAGTGGTAGACAATGCAACCACCGGCTGCCTCTTGCTCTGCCAAGAGATGGCTGCACCATTAAGGCAATAGACATAGCCGGTGTGACTCTTGCGATCAGCTGAATCTCCAGCATAATCAGCATCACTAAAGCCCACCAACTCAGCCTGAGGCTTGCTGTGTGCGGGGTAGAATATACCTGACTTGACACAACCTTTCAAGTACCTTAGCACTCTCTTAGCAGCCTGCAGGTGAAATGCCTTGGGACAAGACACCACCTTGGACAGCTGTGACACTGCATAAGCAATTTGGGGCTGTGTGGTCGTGCTTGCATACATGAGAGACCCCACAATGCTTTGATAGAGCTGGACCAGCTCATCTCGCAGCAAGGGCTCCTCAGCATGTCATGCACGTCGAACCCTGTAGGGAGAGGGGTACGCACAGGGTTAGCCTCAGAAAGACCAAAGGACTCAAGCATATTGAGAATGTACCTCTCCTGATGAATCAAGATGCCACTCTCATCACGCTCAATCTGCACCCCAAAATAGTACTTGGCCTCCCCCAAGTCCTTCATGCGGAACCGAGAGGACAAGAGACCCTTCACATCGTCCAGCAAGACCATGCTCGAAGACATGAGCACAATGTCATCCACATAGAGGTAAAGGGACAGCCTGCCCTCATGCCTCACCAAGTGGTACAAGGCGGGGTCACACTCCGACCTCTCAAACCCAAAATCCATCAACGCCTCATCAAACTTGAGGTACCACTGCCTTGGAGCTTGCTTTAGCCCATAGATTGATTTCTTGAGTCGGCAAACTGTGCCGGACCCATCATCAAAACCAGGTGGCTGCCTCATGTAAAGCTCCTCCTTCAAGACCCCATGAAGATAGGCGGTGGTCACATCCATGTGATGGATGTGAGACCCCGAGGATGCTGCCATCCCAAGGGAACCTCTCAGGGTGGTAGGTTTACCCACCGGGGTATATACCTGGTCATAGTGAACGCCTCGTGTTTGAGTGTTCCCCATGGCCACCAACCTGGACTTAGGCCTCTCGATACTCCCATCAGCCATGTGCTTATACTTCCACACCCACTGACACCTCAAGACCTCCATTCCAGGTGGCACACAAGCTGGATCAACCAGCTCAAAAGACTCGTTCACCCTATGAGACTCAAGCTCCTCACGCATGGACTCAACCCACTCAGGACAAGACAAGGCCTCCTTGACCGACTTAGGCTCATGCACCTGACCCATGAGACAGAAATCAAGCCCAAGCTCACCCCCCTCAGCATCCACAAGCATGCACTCCTCCATATCATGCACCTCATGATCATGCATGCAAGCATACTGTGCACTTGGTGTGAACCTTTCGGGTGGCCGGGAGATGCGTGTGGTGCGGCGCAGAGGTGATGCCTCCCCCTGCTCCAAACTTTGCAGCTTCTCCTTCCAAGTCACTCTCTTCATGGGGGACTGTGGTGACTTGGACAGCTGCTGCTGCAGTATTTGCTGCCACCTACCCGCAGGAACAGGTGGTGTATGCTCTTGTGGTGGCTGCTGCGGCTTCTCTTGTTGCTGCTGCTGCCCCTGTGGCTGCTCCGGGTCATGGGCTGGTGCGTTAGGGTCAGGGGTAGAACCAGCAGTTGGTGACTCCTCATGGTGAGGTGCAGCTGCCTTTTGTTCCTTTTGCTGCTCCTCTACCTCCTCTCCAGGGTCCTCCCATGCCCCCTCAAAGATGGAAGAGGTGTAGGGATCCTGAAGGGAGTTCCCAACTGTACTAGCACCATGCTCTTTCCACCCCTTATAGCTCAGCCCCTCGTGGAAAACCACATCCCTGCTTTCCACCACCCGCTGATCCGCCATACTCCACAACATCCAAGCTTTACTCCTCTCCGACACCCCAAGAAAAATGCCCCATTGTGCCTTAGGATCCAGCTTCCTCCGTTGCTGGTCGGGCACTTTGTACTGCGCCATGCACCCCCACACTCGTGCCATGGACACACTAGGCACCTTCCTGGTCCACATGAAGTAAGGGCTCTTGCCCCCTAGCCCCTTGCTGCCCATTCTGTTCTTAACCCAGTTGGCATATTGCACTGCTGCCCCCCACCAAGTATGGTCCAGCTGCGCATGAGCAAGCATGGCTCGGGCAAGGTCAATGAGGGTCCGGTTTAGCCGCTCCGCTGCCCCATTTTGCTGCGGTGTGTAGGCGACTGAAAGCTGGTGGGTGATGCCCTTGTCTTCAAGGAAAGCCTCCAGATCCTTCCCTATATACTCCCCACCCCGATCAGACCTTAGTATCTTCACCTTCGCCCCGGCTTCCCTCTCTGCATAGCGTATCCAACGTTTGAAGACCTTGGCCACCTCATCCTTGGTTTTCACCAAGGTAACCCAACTTAGGCGGCTGAAGTCATCCAAGAAGGTGATGAAGTATTTGCTGCCCTTCTCCCTATCCGGTGTTTGCATGGGGCCACACACATCCGTGTGCACCAACTCAAGAGGTGCGGAGGCTCGAGTGGTGGAGGTAGGGAAAGAGGTCCTTGGCAGCTTCCCGGTCGTGCAATCAGGGCACTTGCTTGGCTGCCCACCACCCTCCTTGATCTCCACACCCTTCAGCTCCCCCTTCTTCACACACTCCACAAGTTGCTGCCTTCCTGCATGCCCCATGCGTAGGTGCAGCAAATCTGCCGTCACCTGCTCCACGTCCCTCCAACGGCTGCTACAAGCGGCTTCCTCGGCTTCAACTCCATGTGCCCTCTCCACCTGAGGCACACAAACTGGAACAAGGTATAGGCCCTTCTCTAATTTGGCCTCCATCACCACAGCTCCACCCTTGCGAACCGTGCCACCTTCCATGGTGAAGGTGCATATGTATTCTTGCCTCGCAAGTTGAGAGCATGAGAGAAGGTTGGCTGCCAAATCAGGAACATGAAGCACACCCTTCACATTCAGCACCTCCCCCTCCTTCCCCATGACGGTGATGGTGCCGATGCCGATTGCTTGCAGCGTATCTCCGCTCCCCACAATCACATTTCTGGAGTTAGGTGGGAGGGAGTGATAAGTGGTGAAGAGGTCGCGCCGAGGTACCATTCCACAGGTTGCTCCAGAGTCTAGAATGAGCTGATTGGGGTCAGCCAACGTACGACCAGCAAGCGCCGTCTCCTTCTCTAAGGATAAGAAGGAGAAACCATCATCCGATACGTCCTCCTTTCCCTTCTTATCCTCGTTTGCCGCCGCTTCTGCCGCTTTCTTCTTGCTGCCCTTCATGTTCCATGCTCCGTTCTTCATCCTCCTCTCCACCCACTCAGGCCTAGTGACAGGTGGAGCCTCTCCTGAGTACCCTTGAGGCTTCCACCCATCTGGTCGACTCCAGCACTCCTTCCAAGAGTGCTTCCGGTTGCATCCAGGGACAAGGCACTTGTCGAGCTCCTTCTTCTTCCCCCCACCTCCGTGCCGCTGCTGGTATTTCTTGGAGGCAACCCTATCACCTGCCCCCATTCCCCCTTCAACTCCTCTACCAGCATTACGCTTGCGAGCCTCATCAGAAACCAACACCTCCCATATCCAGGCCTTGGTCCATTTCTGCTGCTCTAGGTGAAGGTATTGTAGTAGAGCCTCGTTTGCTTCTTGGTCCAGCCCCTGGAGTGCGGTGTAGATGATCTCCTTCTCATCTACTTCATAGTTCAGCTCCTCCAATGCCCTCACATACTCATCCACCCTCTGGAGGTACTGCACCATGGTCTCCCCATCGCCATAGTTGCGTTCCATGGTGTAGAACCGCTTCCTCCAGGTGAGTATGCTTAACAACCCTTTTTGCAAATGTCGATCTTGAACTCTCTTCCATGCTAGTGCAGCTGCTCCTTGCTTGCCCTTCAGGTCAATCAGCATCTTTAGGAGCTCTAGTTGGCCTTCCAAGGCCCAACACAGGTACTGGAACGCTTGCTTGTCCTTGCGGTCCCATGCTTCTTGTGCCTTAAGAAGCTCCTCTGTACTAAACCGTTGCCTTCCGGTTCGTGGTGCTGCTGGTCC